CAATTCATAGCAAAAAAACCCAAACAAAATAATAAGAAGCCATACAGATTAAAAAAAGCTATTGCCTGCAGAAAAGTAAAAAGAAAACTAACCAATTATTACATCAAGCATCTTTAATGAAATGAACAGCATAGCCGTGTATTGTAGAGCCTTTGACACTGACATTTTAAACAAGTGGATTAACAAACACTAAAATGCATTACAGTTCTACTGTAAGCATGCAGTTTACTTCTCACAAACTTATGAAACGGGCAGAAACACTTAAAGAAGAGCAGAATTCAAATATGACGCTTGCTTTCTACCCGAAAGTCCAGAATCTGGTCTTGTTAAAAATAAAGCCAATGGAATGAGGCGTTACCGCGTGGGTTTGCAGCTCTTCTGCGCTTTGGGCGGAGATGAAGAGGCGTGACGCAGCGTAAGCGAGCAGGGGGGGGGGGGGCTCGTCCCTCTGGCCAAACCGGCAGCGATTTGCCCGGGATTTACCAGCAAAGCCCGGGGAGCGGAGGCGGCTGCGGGGCCCGTGCGAGAGCGTCGCCGGTGGCGGCAGGACCGTGCTCTGGGGCGGGGGGCGCGGGGGGCGCCGGAGCCCTTTGCGGGGGGGGGGGGGGGGGGGGGCACGGCCCTGGCGCGGTTAGGGCAGCTCGAGCAAGAGCCACCGAGCCAAAGCGAACGGACCGGGAGAAGGCACGCGTGGGTTCCGCTGCGCTCGCTTGGCGTAATTAAACCCGGCGGGCTAACGATGCGAGCGACACCCTCGTTCGGATCTGGGCTACGCCAAACGTCGGGTAAAAAGCGCCAATCTCTCTCTCTCTTTGGGGCTGCTCGTGAGACCCGATCATCGTTTTTGCTTCCTCGATAAGATTATTTCGAAAAAGTTTGTGAGAAGTCATGCCTTCATAACGCCCCTAACCCCAATCCTTGTGAGTTACATTCCAAGTGGGCATTAAAAACTCATAACAAAGCGGGGGGGGGAAGCAAACTCAAAGCAGTGAGGATATGGAGCCTTTACAAAAATAAAAATAAAAATAAAATAAAAAGTCCAGTCAATCAAACCAGCCAGTAAGAGCAGCAATTTTTCAGTGGACATTGATATTAAACATGGACCACCCAGGCTTTTTCTGTCTCTCTCATTAGCACTGTAGTAAACCCCGATTAATTTGTTATGCATCTTTAAGAACTAGTTGATAAAAATTATGTCTTGTGAAATCGGCAAATAGTCTGCAAAGTGAAATAAGAACAGAAATTAATAGATTAAACTGAAAAGATAAGTCCCAGAAATTAAAAAAAAAAAAAACAAAAAAAAAAAACACAGAAAGGAGGGAGTGATTGCAATAAAAACCAAACCAAACCAAACCAAAAAGGCTATGTACTGAGTTATAAAGGCCTAGAGGAAAAAAATAACATGATGGGAGAAGATAGAGCAGTCGCCAAAGCGGTTGTGTGCGTCTCGCCCGGGGAGCGGGGGCCCTACCAGCAGCTCCGGCGCAGAAACGGGAATGCAAAGAGGTGGCTCGTGACACTTGTAGCCTCGTTTCACTTGCACCACGGTAAATACCAGCAGGACAGTTCAGTTCAGATGGGCACCCCACTTTTTTTTTTTTTTTTTTTTTTTTCTCTTTTTCTTCTTTTTGGGGTAATTAAAAAAGTAAATAGGTGATTAAGCGTGACCTGAGGAGGAACCAGAGTAAGGCCGGGCGGCTGTGCGGGGCGGCGCAGGGCCCTGCGGGGAGGTGACCGCTCCGGGCACAGCTCTGCAGTGACACCCTGGGGACCCCCCCCAAAATCCGGGACACCCCTCCCACACCCCCCCACCCCCCCACCCCCCCCCCCCAGCAGCACCGGCACCGGGGCGGGAGAGCAAGCTGCACGACACAACCGTACCGCAGCGAAAAGCACCGCCGGGTCTCCTCCGTCACGAACCGCGGGAGCGCAGCGGGACAGTCGGGTGCGTTATGTTTGGGGGTTTATTTATACATCCACATCGGCGCGGCTGCAGCACCGCCGCGGCAGGCGAAGCGCTCAGGCACGCTGCCTGGGATGCTCCTGCAGGAAACGGCCAAGTATTTTGTCTTTTCGAGTCACGGCACCGAGCGCCTGGGCACGGCAACTTACGGGGCAAAAAAAGCAGATTTCCGATTCCCCTCCGCACGCGCTCCGGCCTCACGCTCCGAGCCGCAGCTGTACCACGGGCCCCGCTCTGGCAAGCGGCAAAACACGCCAAGGGAAGGGCCGGGGTGGGGAGGCGTGGGGGGGGGTTCAGGCTTTTTGGAGGGGAAGGACTAGGGGCTGGAACCATGCACCAAACGCCTTCCCCCACGGCTGGTCGCTCAGGCCGCCTGCGCCTTTCCTTCCCGGGGGGTGTCTGGAGGAGGAGCGGGCGCTGGGCAAAACGCTCCCTCGCGCCCTGAGCTGTGCTCCCGGGGGCTCTCAGCCCGCCCCCCCCAGCTCCTCCTTCCCAACCCCTGGCTCTGGCGAGGGGGGGGAACCCCCCCTGTTTGATGCTGCTGGGCATCAAAGCCCTCGTGCCGTTCCTCCGGGCAGGGGGGGGGCTCCCGCGCCCCGTCCCGCTCCGACGGGTCGTGTTTCTAGAGACCGGTAGTCCCGAGCCACCTGAGGAAAAACCACCTGAGGAAAAACCACCTAACGACCGGTTCTGATTGCCATTAAGGAATAAATTACCTGAGGGGGAGTGGAGCAAACAACACAGGCAGAGCTTTAAGGCAGGGAAATCCAAGGAAGGCGACGGAGGACCCTGAGCATCTCTCCCCCTCGCTGCCCTGCTCCCAAAGGCACAACTGGTGCCCGCAGTCAGCTGCGCTGCTTTTTACTGGTTGACAATCTACTTTGATTTTCTTCTGCGTATTCAATCTCTGCAAGAGACTGAAAATCACTAGCAAATAACTGGAAGGCTTGTTTTGAAAAACCAGGCCCTTAATAAAAATATATATAATGAGGGCTAGAGTCAAGCGGCACCTCTGCTGTCAGCTGGCAGACACATTCATTTTAGACATGTTTATAATTAAAGTCATCTAAGCTCTGCTGATTTTCATCATTTAACTTATCAAAAGTGTCTCTCATTTAGCTGTCTTCATACCAATCAGCTGGTACAAGGAATGGGGAGGATCCGGGAGGAAAGTGTGAGCAGGCGAACGCCTTCTGGAGCCTCCTCCTTACACCCCACTAAGGGCCACGGTGCCAGCCCGGAGCCCTGCCACCCCGGGGGCAGCCGCCGTGTCACCCACTGCTGCCGTGTCATCTACTGCCACTGTGTCACCCACCTCCGCCGTGTCACCCACTGCCGCCGTGTCATCTACTGCCACTGTGTCACCCACTGCTGCCGTGTCACCCACTGCCACCGTGTCACCCACTGCCACCATGTCACCCACCCCACCCCCGCCGTGTCACCCACCGCCACCATGTCACCCACTGCCACCGTGTCACCCACCGCCACCGTGTCACCCACCGCCGCCGTGTCACCCACTGCTGCCGTGTCACCCACCGCCACTGTGTCACCCACCGCTGCCGTTGTCACCCACCACTGCCATGTCACCCACTGCCACCGTGTCACCCACCGCCACCGTGTCACCCACCGCTGCCGTGTCACCCACCTCCTCCGTGTCACCCACCACCGCTGTATCACCCACCGCCACCGTGTCACCCACCGCCGCCGTGTCACCCACCGCTGCTGACCCCCCTGCCCGCACGCCGCCCCGCCAGCTCCGCTCTCCGCCCTGACACCCTGCTCGTTTCGGGCCTGGCTCGGTTTGGGAGGGCGCAGCACGGGTGGGCAAGAGGCAGGTGAGCTTTACATAGAGCCCTCGCATCTGTCAATCGAAATTGAAAAAAAAAAAAAAACCAAAAAAAACCCTAACAGCACCGTTTCCCTTTGTTACTAGTCCTAAAAACCAGCTGCACAGAAGCTACCATCCCAAGGACACTGTCTTACGGCCGTACGCTTCCAACGCCTTGCTTCATCCCAACGCCCTGTGCCATCCGCGCCCCCGCGTGCCGCAGGTAACGCCGAGCACCCTCCTCATCCTCACCCACCCTAAAGGACCTTCCCCCGCGGGTGTTTGGTTTCCCTCCTCGCGGAGCTGCTGCCCTCCCGCGCCCGCCCGTCTCTCACTGCTGGGGGGTGTGGGGGGGTGTGTGGGTTTCCCAACACGTTTTTTTTTTTTCCGGTGGGACCGCTCGTGCGCGACGCCCGCCGCCAGCGCGCTCGCGGATTTCACGCGCAGCACGCCGGTTTTCCCTCGTTGGGCTTCAGCCCTCAGCAAGCCATAAATAGGGGAGCCGGCGCTTCAGCCTTTTAGAACTGCCCCCGGGGAAACCCCGGGGTGGAAGGAAAGGGAACGGTCCCGTGTGGTTTCAGCCCCACCCGTGGACGTGCTGGGACGGGGAAAGGGCTTTCCGCCATCCCCGCTGCGCCCTGGCGCTCGGCGGCCGCGCCAAGGCAAGGGGGGGGGGGAACCAAACCGAAGCCAAACCGAAGCATCAACGCACGGCTAGGAACTATTTCTGCGAAGGACACCAGAGCGAGCGATACAGAACACAGGAAGGTTGGACTTTCCACCCCAAGACTGCACTTGCAATGAACAGCCACTTACCGCAGGATAGCATGGGAACGTGGGTGCGAGTCTGAGTGCCTGTGTGCCTGTGTATATCTCTATAATATATATGAAAGGAAAAACCCATCAACGGGAGGGTAATAGCTCTTAGACTACCTCTGTTGCTTTATGGTTTAATTTCAGAAGTTTGTTTTCAAATAACCAGTACCAATTTACACGTTAGTAAGAATGTATTTAAAATATGTATATAGAAATATCTATTTTAAAGTAGTAAAAAAAAAAAAAAAAAAAAATTGCTGTTGTGTGAGATGCTCCCTGCAGACTTGCCTGTCTCAGCTTGCAGCTATGGATTTAAAAAAAAAGGAAAAAAAAAAAAAAAAAGAGAAGGAAAGAAGGGAAAAAAAAGTAAGTCTGCAAATGAAAAGTACGTACCTGGGAACTGATAGCTGTAACTTGGGGCAAATCCAGGATATCCTCGGCCGTAAGTTGCAACAAAATTCGGGTAACCTTGATCACAGAAATGTATTAAAGAAAAAAAAAAAAAAAAAAAAAAAAAAGAGAGAGAGAAAGAGAGAGAAATTTGAAGATTAATAAAGGCTTTTTGTTTTTAAATACAATACAAAATGACATGGATGGGTGAGACTTAATTTTACAGAAGGTATTAAACCCCGAGATTTCTTCCGCTCATGCAAAACGGCCCAAAGGTTTCATTATGATCCTGACTAGAAGCATCCAGAGCCGGGCAGCCTTCCTGCTCACCGGCCTGCCCGGCTTTGTGCGGGAGACCTGTCACGCCAGTAATTAACATGCACTTTGGTATCTGGAGCCCAAGGACTGTGCATACTTGTTAGCTGGAAGAGTAAATGCCAAATGCTAAGGCTAAACACATAACACGGGTTTGCTCTGACATTTGGAGAGCTTACAATGAATGTACTTTGCTTCAGAGCTATTGACAGTTGGAGATTAAGGTAGTAGTAATTCTTTATCCCGGGAGTGTGAAGGACAACAGTTAACACATCAAAGAGTTGGAGGCAGCAACAGCTATGAGCCAGAGTCAAAGAGCTTTTAATTTTTCCGGAAAGTAAAACCCAGCTATGAGAGCCACTTCCTAAAGCAATTTCTGAGAAACGCGCAGAAGCGCATCCAACCTCCGGCAGCTTTGGAAGTTTTGAGGAAAAGACCGCTCGGGATCATTTTGTTAATGAAGATGCTTAAGTGAATGCGTTAAGTGGCAACTCTGCCTGGCGCTGGGGGGGGGCGAAAGGCCGTGTGGGCAAGAGGGGCAGAGCCCTCGGGGGGGGCTCGGGGCGAGCGGGGGTCCCGCTCGGGGCAGCGGGAGGGTTTGGGTGTGTGCTGGACGTCACCCGAGCGCCTCAACGTGGCCCCGCCGCGTTTTAACCTATGCAAGCCAGCTGTCCCCTCCGGTCCCACCGTGGCTGTTTGGGGCGGCCGGTGCCACGAGCTCTCCTGTGCGCTGAGATCTCCTCAGATCGTAACCTCGGCACCGCATTGCTCGGTTCTCTTAAAAACAGGAACCACCCCCTGCAATCCCGGTGCGGTAAATGCTGCGTGACGTCCCTGCTGACTGTCCGGGTCAGCCCGGCCACCTCCAGTCTCCAGGAAAAACCTCTCCAGACCAAGAAACCACCACAAAAAGTTTGCTCTCACCCTGAAGTCAGCAGGAATCTCGGCAGTGACGACAGCAGCTGGGCTGGACCCCGAGAACAAGTTCAGCAGCCAAAGGGTCCTTCTGGGGGGGGGTCTCCTATCTCTGCTTTTCTTTATTCTTTAATATACTCATGCATCACACAGCTATTTCTCTGCTGCAGCAAGTCCCTCCATCTCTGATTAGATTTATATATACACATATAATGTACTATTAATCATAATCTAAAACAGGAAGATAAAAACGCTTGGATGAATTTTGATTACGGGATTAAGCAGTGCCAGGGGAAAGCAGCCCCGCGATGCCCGGACAGCACGCTGCGGCTTTCAGCGGTGTGTACACACCGCCTAGCCCCTGCGTATTTATTTCACAGCTCAACAGCTGGATTCCCTTAGAAATTAATCACCTCTGTCATTAAATCAGATCTTTCAGAGTTAAGCTTTACAAACCCTTTTTCCTTTTTTTTTTTTTTTTTAAATAAAACAACAATATTGATAAATGGATTGTTTGCTAAGTAAGTAACGTCATCAACACCATCGTGAGCTCCACCATGAAAAATCGCTCTGCGGCGTCCGACCGCAGCCGCTCTCCTCGCCAAGCGGAAAAAAAAAATCCAAGTTGCATTCCGATTTGAACGACTCCGGAGCAGATCTGTCAGCTCCTGACCATCGGGGACCGACGCTCCGGGCAGCTCCCCGGGGGGAGCTGGGGCTGCGGGTGCAGCCCCGGCGGGACCGGCACGGCGGTGGATGGCACCTGCCCGCGGCGGTTTTGGGGCTGGCGATGCGGTGCAGGGTGCCGTCCCTTCTACCGCCCTGCCCGGGGGGCTCTCGCCCGCATCGCCCGCGCTCGACGCTCTCTAGGTCAGGCAGATGAAATCATAAATTTATAATACAACATTACTTCAATTTTCCTCTTCATTTGCTGCTGCAGTGCCCAGCTCTGCTCTAACGAGTCAAAGCCTGATCCGCGCAGGGGAAATTGCCTGGCTGAATATCAATAGCGCATTAACACCGTGCCCATGTGGATGCTTCATCAAGCCAAATTACGGCCATGCTGACCTACCCACCACTTCCATTAGATGCCATTCTCATCCTGCACTGGGCACCGAGCAGTTTATTTGCTCCAGTAGTCCTGGGGAATGATCAATCTTTTTAATTATCCCTTGCTGCTAAACCAAAAAGCCAAGTTTTGCCTGGCTTACCTCCACCGAAGCAAGACCCTCCCGCCCGTGGAAGCAGAACTCAAACCCAACACCCAAACCTGCTTTGGCAGCACCGCGCGCCCCCCGCTCCTGCCCCCGCCGGCGAGGGCAGCGGGTCCCCCGCGCCCGCCCCGCAGGCTGGACGCCGGGCCGGCGGGTCTCCGGGCGGGCGAGGTGAGAGCCATGGGCCGCGGGAAGCACCGCGCCGCCCCGCCGACCGTCACGCTCTTGGCCGAGGCAACCCCCTGAGGTGGCCACCCAAGTCCCTCGTCACCACCAGCACCGGGCGACCAACCGGGCGGTCTCGCAGGGGAAGGCGGAGGCTGCCAGGATGAAACACGGCGCTTTCCGCTCGCCGCGGACCCGAGGGCATCGCCGCTCCCGGTGCGAAAGCCCAGCCCGGCGGGGCCCATGGTAAAGCCCGAGCGTTGCAGGAATCCTACAGAAGGGGGAAACTGGGCAAGCTGCCATTTAAAACTCGTGGCCCTGCAGCCCGAGCAGCTCACCACAGCGCAGGCACGAGGTCACTGGGAAGGCAGGAGACCCCCGAGCCGGACTCCCGACCCCCCTCCAGCACCTCCAGAGGGAGAAACGGCTCCTCCGCTCCAAGCCGGGAAGTGGCCACAACCACTGAACCAGGCTATGGAAATGTTTGGGTTTTTTTATCATTTTTAATTTTGGTGGTCCGAGATGGACAAGACCCTTGGTTAATATGTGGGAACACTGAGCACACTGGGGCCTGGGGACCTCTGCAAAATTAATACAAATGCTCCCGTAAGTGCAAGAAAATGACTGTCTCCCCACATTGCTCAGAGCAAGGAATGCCACGTCCTTGGCAAGTAAAGGCACGGTCCTGCCAAAGCACAGCCCCACGCTGCCACAAAGATGCTCAGGGTCCTTCTCAGAAGGAACGTGTTGTGACCTTGACATAAGCACCTCTGGCACGAGGGAATCCAAACCAAAAATCACCTCCTGCAGGCACAGGGGGTGGTCACATACGAGGGAGCAGTACGGAGAAGAAACGCTTCTGCTGGAGAAGCTTCTCCCTTGGTCCAGCACAGCTGACCCGTCTCCTACTTCAAGAGGGTTGAGGAGCTTGGGTAGAGCTGGCAGCAGCTGCCGGAGCCCGGGGGGTTGTGGCAGCCCCCCCCCGGGCAGCCTGCGCTAACGAAGGGCTCCCCTTCCCGGCTCCTGCCTCAGAGGCAGCTGCTACTCTATTAATCGGAGCCTGATGGAAAAAAAAGGAATGACTTTCTTCGAAGGGCACAAGCTTCTTTTATGCATGAGTTCAGCCTACCTAGATTGAACGCGTGCAGTAATGCAGAGCCCCGCTCTCCTCGTGCGGTGATACGAGCAGCCTGTCAGAGAGGGGCAAGGCGGGGTGTAAGGGTGTAAGTTGTATGGGCCGAGCGCTCCTGCCCCTGGAGGGGGTTTGCAAGTTAAAAAGAGCCCAACTTTCATCTTAAACACCGGCAAGTCGAAGATGCCCGTTGCCAGAAGAAACAAGCGCTGCAGGGCCCCAGCTCAGAGCAAGCAGCGCAGGAGTCACCCCCAAACCGGCGGCTGCCGCCGCCCCGGCGCCCCGACCCGCTTGGGCTGGGAGGGCAGGCAGGGACGACCCGCTGTTGGTATTGCTCCTCGGTTCGCCGCCTTCTTTTCTTTTTTTTTTCGTTCCAGTTTTCAGGTCCAGACCTGAAGGGAGGGCCAGAAGCCGTGGGGCAGTGCGGGTGACACCCACACGCCCTTGGGTGACGGGGCTGCTGGTTTGCGCCGCCAGGAGCAGGGGATGGAGGTGAGGCTTCTGGGCGCACGGCAAGCTTCTGGCCCCCCGAACCGCTCCCACTCCGCTGCAGGTGTGTGTGTGTTGCCTTCTCGGGGGGGGGGGACACACACACGGTGCCTGTTCACGAGCACCCACAGGGCCGGGGAGCTGCCCGGTGGGCTGCCAGGGAGAGAGAGATCACTGGAATTGCAACCGCTCCAGCCCCGCTCTTAATGCAGAGTGGCTAATTAATGCTCCTGATCTCCCCCGAGGCCGCACGTGTCCCATCAGCAGCCCGAGCCCGAGGCAGCCCAGAAGCAGTCCTGGCAAAAGGCACAGCCTGCCCGCCCTCTCAGAGTCTAAAAATCCTTTCAGAAGAACACTTTAATTTTGTTCCAATCAACCAAATCAGCACAGAAGCGGCTGCCTACGCACCTTTAGACCCCGGCTGCTGCCGGCTCCTCGGGGAGGCTGTGATTAATGAAAAAGACCAACTTCCTTAATAGCTTTGGAGGGAGTCGCTCCCCGCTCTTTCCTTTGGGTTGTCTCGTGCGTTCCTTCCTCCGATCCCCTCCTCTGCCCATGAACAGCACCTGGAGAAGGTGACCTTGAGCAAGGGCTTCTGGAAACAGGTATAAAAATCCTTCCAGAGCAGCCCCAGTCTCCCTGTTCCGGACCAGCCAGGCACCTGGAAGGAGGGACGGGGCAGGGCTGACCCCGGCCTCCCGGGATCTCGGCAAAACACTCGCTTGCTGCAGACGCTGCCTCCGGCGGCACGTTGCTCTACGCGTCTCGTCGTTTGATGGGTTAATTACTCCCCTCTCCCTGCGGGGACGGGGCCCCACCATGTGTGGGCATGATCCGGGGTTTGGGAAGGAGAGATTTGGGCCCCCTTCCCAGCCAACGCATCCAGGCAGGCTTGGAAAACAGGGATTTATAAGGGCCATCCGGCCGGCTTTGCTCTCGCGTGTTGCCATTTCCTTGTTTGGCACTTAATTATTTAACACGGTGCCACTGTAGGAAGCGGGAACTTGGAAGAGGAAAAAAACCAGCGAGAGCAGATAACGAAGCATCTGGCCTTCAAGACGAATCAATCATTAATTCTGAGCAAGTCACCCTGATTTGAAATCTAGCGAGAGCACGTTGTGAGGCCGGCTGGAGCAGAGCCGGCCGGGGTGACCCGACCCACCCCGCTGCAGCGGGACGGGATTTGCCACCAGGCGCCCGCGGCACTGGCTCTGTGCAGAAGGAGATCTGCTCGCCGAGGGCTTCTTCCCGTACTTCTTATGGCTCAAAATGATCTTTTTCCAATGAGGCAGCCCCAGGGGGAAGGACTCACGCTGCACCCGAGGGCTGAATTTTCCCTTTAGGTCACTGGGGCGGGCCCTGGCTCCATTCACTCCTTGCCCGGCTGCGAGGAGAAGGGTTGAGGCAACTCTGCCCGTGGCGAGCAGAAAAAAGATGCTGCCCTGGGTTTTTTTGGCTATGCGGGGTGAGGTGGGCTCTGGCCTCCAGCAGCCGGGCGGGACTGGCCAGCAAGGCGACACGCACGGCCTCCACCGCCCCAAACCTCGGGCACCACGGCGGCAAAGAAAGAGAAACAGCAGAAATAAAGTACAGACGCTCAAGCACGCTGGGAACATACAGGTAATGAAATCACGGACCGACTAGAGCAAGATAAATATTTTAACCATAAAATGTAATTTCCAAACACGATGGGGCAGGGTGGCGGTGGAGTGTGGGGACAGAAAAATAGATGATCAGCTGAAATAACCGAATTACACATCCCAGAAATGGATTGTTCCAGCCACACGAACAGAAGTACTATTAATTCAGAGATAAAGCAAACACGGCAGGGAAGTTTTCCCTACCAAATCGAGCGGTGCCTGCGGTCAGAGCTCTCAGCGTAACAGCCTGACGCTCGGAGGAGCCGAGCCCCAAGCCCTCTGCCCCCACAGCCCTGGGGCGCTCCGGCCTCGCAGCCAGCCCGGGGAGCCGCTCGGCAGCGCTCGCCACAACCCAGCAGCAGCTTTCCAGGCTGGTTTTTGCGCTCGGTTTCTGGGATCGTCTAAAGCCAGGACAGAAAATCCAAAGCATCCTGGAGCGGCCAGGCGGCCCCCCCGGGGACGCGAGCTGGGGAAGGGCCGGCTCTGCCTGGGAACACCTCCAGCCGCCCCCCCGCGCCTTCATGCACGCCTGACGGGCGCAGGAGGTGCCAGCCGAGGGAAAGCCCGCGGATACAAAGGGAGCGGAAAGTTGAAAATGTGTGGAGTTTTACAAAAATACATTGGCAATGCACTAGCAGCATTTTGGCTTAGTAAATCTGAGGACAGAGTATCAAGAGGTTGTCACATTACAGGGAATGAAGAACTATCTGGGCAGAAACAAATGAGAACCGATTATAACTAAATAGACCTCATGCACAAATACAATTTTGCCGTTAAATATCATTTATCCCATTTAATTAGTATTTTCTGGACACAATACTCTGGACTAAAATACTGTTCCATCTCCTTGGAACTTGTAATTATTGTTGCGACCTATACTGTTACGCATCTCCCTGCTTTCTCCATCTTGCATGCCATTTAAGAACCAGCAAGATTTTCAATTATCTATGCTGAACTGTCAAAGATACCTTTAAAAGAAGGGGAATAATGTGTGACTCAATTCCTCTAAAAAAGGGGAGAGATCATTTTTAGTCAGAATGAACACACAGCATCTTTCATCATTCTATTTTTGCGAGGAAGAGTAAAACAGGCTATTTAAAACATCCATTTAAATGCAAATTTTTATATTCCAGGAAGGGGGCGGGGGGGGGGGGGGAGTTAATCATTTACCACAGACAGGATTGTTTTCCCCACTCCACCCCTGCTAAAGTTTTAGACTCGCACCCACACAGGTGCTGGGATTTGCTCACCCCTACGGCTTAAGGGTTCGGAAATCAGGGAGACGACACGGGAGCCGCGCGGTGGCTCCGGCACTTACCCAACATTCCCATCCCTAGCATAAAAGCGTCCATGGTATACGGCAATCCACGCGCCCTTCCTCTCGTCCCTGGTGGAAACATCACTTCTTTAGGTTGTGCTTTCTTACATTCTACCTATTGAGCAGAAACATGTACAAATGAGATGCAAATGAATTCCATGTAAATGTCAAATGCAGAACTGATCTACTTAAAGCGGGGCGGGGGGGGGGGGGAGTTTTACTTTTAGCATTTGCCTCCCCACACCGCCTCCCCCACAAAGGTGAACTTTAAGAATAGCGTAAACGGATTTTAAAAAGAGCAAACATGTATGTCTCTTTAAACACACATAGCAAAACCCCGCTGGGAAGATGACAGAAATGCTGATTTAAGGAGTTGCCGTGTCCCTGAAAGGAAAACCGGTGCTGCTTCCCTCTCAGTGGTACTCGCGGGCGTGGGATGAATGGAGGGAGGTCTCCAGCACAGCTCTATTGCAATCGATAACAGAAAATGACTCTTGGTGATCATTACAAAAAGCTCCCTTTAAAATAGGAATAAAGAATCAATATTTCTACCCAGCAGAAAATTTCTGTAAACCCTATTAATGAATGATCTGCATTCTTCCACTTCCAGTTACTCCTGCTGCCTTCTGAAGTTGCTTAATGCCACTCGAACCACATTGCGAGTCTCTGCCAAAACCCTGCGAGAGGCAGTGACCCAGCCCAGGGCCCCCAGCCACCCCGCCGGGCGCTGGTTCCCAGCCTCTTTTTGGATAGGAAAAAAGAGAAATAAAGCGCTTTTCATGTTTTTTAGCTCCGGCACTGCTGACTCACCCTCCCAGCAGACTGTCCCCACGCTCCCCGCCGCACTGGCCCTAGGGCCGCGCTGGTAAGCTGATTTGGAGCCAACCAGTTATCCCAACCCATTTCTACGGCTCTCCACCTTAGTCCACGCTCTGAGCAAAAGGAAAATGTGCAGACACGCAGCGCAGGCCTGGCACGGGGTGCGGGGAAGCCCCGAGCTGTGCCGCCGTCCGCCCCGCCTGCACGTTTTGCACGCCGCGCATCGCTGCTCTAAGGGGAAAAGGTCTGGGGCTGAACCAAGAGGTTTGAGCTTTACGCCTCTCACTTTGTTCTTCAACCAGCTCCTCGTCCTCTTCGCCCAGTTACCACTCGCCCTGCCTGGCCAGAGCCGAGCGGGAGCAGCAGTGCCGCAGCCGGGGCCGTGCTCCAGCAGACGCGGTGGCACAGCCACGGGCAGCCCCGCTGCCCTCACCCTCCCGGCCCGGCCCTGCAACCACCTCCTGCAAACCTGGGGATGTCGGGTAACACAGCTAAACATCTCGGTGCCTAATAGCCCGCTCAGTGACTGTGTGTTCATTGTCTTATGAAAACCAACCGCCTGTTCCTAGGCAACCCGATCAGCGAAAATTTCAGGTTTGTACAATTTTCATTCAGGTAACATAAAGGTTAACTGACTGTAATGGGAATATTTTAAACAGAACCACCTACTCCTCCCCTTTCTGCTGCAAACCTCCACAGACCGTATTTACTGTCCTTGCTTGCAACACTTCCCCGAGCCACAATGCTCAGACACTGCCAACGCTGTCAAAACACACGTTTCTTGCAAACGAGCTGCCCCAATCCAGTGAAGTTTGGAGTGAAAATCTTCTGGAGTTCAACTGTTGCTACTTTTTTGCCAAGAAGCGTTCAGGTCCTCGCAGGAGGCAGTGGGAGAAGGGCGGAGAGGGATTGGGGGTGGCTGGAGGGGGGGAAGTGTGTGCGCACAGCCCGGACACAGGGAGAACGGGGGCAGGAGCGAGGGGGGGTTTTGCAGAGACCCACTCTCCAGACACCCCAAAAATTGGGTACAGCCACATCAGCGATTCCCTCTGTCTCCTCTTCGGTGCTGTCGAGGCAGCAAGTCCTCCGGGAGAGAAACACCCCACTGAGAGCTACAGTGAGGAGCTGGGTGTCCTCCAGCCAGGGCCCCCAGTCTCCACGCACCCTGCCCCCTGCACATCCACTCGCACGCATGCGACGGTGCAGGCGCACTACTGAGCGTGCCAGGGAGCCCCGCAGGGTTCCCGAGCCAGATATTAAGACAAAAAGAGAAAGAAAAGGAAGCAGAAAACTTCCCATCAGTGAATCCGTCGAGCAGCCGCTGGCACGCCGAGGTGCCGCTGTCGCAGCGGGGTTGGGGACGAAGCCTTCAGAGCTCCCAGGGAGGTTGAAGCCTGAGCCTTGACGGTGGGTTTTAGCCTAATTGCACTGTGCTCCCCCAAACCCTCGGTGCCCCCCAGCCTGCCGCGACACCCCCTCCCCACCAACCGCCCCGAGAGCCCAGGGACGCAGCGAGCTCGAAGCGCCGAGCGCCAGCCTCCCTCCCCGCACACCAGCTCCACAACACCCTCTCCAACGGTCCTGCGCTTATTTATTTTTAATCAGAGGGGCATTTAACAGGAGCACGCCAATCTGATTTCTCCAGCCAAATGACCGGGGGTGAGCACCAGAAGTCTGCCATTTCATTTCGCAACCGCATTTTTCGGGTTCGCCACCGCTCCAAATGTCACGGCGGCATTGGTTACACCTCGCGGCCGCTTGCGCTGCGAACAGTCAGGATGATAAAAACAATCTAGCCTGGCTCGATGGACAATTAACAGGAAAATGAAGTTCGGATTAGCACCGTTAGAAACAATAACCCAGTAATTAGCTTTTGCAACCACAAAACAGCCTACCGCTGCTCTCTGAAAGACCAGCGTAATTTATGATTTTCACAGCACATGAGGATATAAAGGCAATGGCAGTGAGCTGCAAAGAAGTTTTAACTGGGATTTAAAGGGGAAGAAAAAGTCACCAGTAGGAAAGAAAAATAATTCCTAAGCCTCTGTAAACAAATAATACCCCATATAGAGGGCAAAATATTCTCCGTTATCCTGCAGGAACTCTTTCCCCCTGGGAGGGACGGCATGCGAGACAGGAGCAGGAGCCCTGGCCCCGCTCTGTCACCCCGCGGGAAGGGGCTGAGTGACCCTGGATTTTTACACTCCCCCTTCAGCAGCGTCAGGCCTTGAGGTGCTCTGCAGAAGCTGCCCGCGCGCCATCCCATCGGCAAACGGGGAAAATGCAGCAAGAGGAGGCGAAGCACCGCGTTAGCGGACGGGCTTGGACAGGGCCTCTTCACCAACACAGGCAGCAAAAGCAGAAAAAAAAAAAAGGGGCCAGGCTGCTTTTCTGCAAGGAGCCAGCCCTCTCCTTCACGGGGAACGGGATGGAGCCGGCTGTAACCATCCCGCAGCCACACGCTACCGCGGGGGTGAAACCCGGGGGGCAGCAGGGCCGTCGCACGCGTGCCGGCCGGCAAAGCGGGACGTGCGACGGGGCTTCTCCAAGCAGGAACGTATCTGGATTCACGAGTCGGTGCTCAGCTCTGGGCCGAATCACCCCCAAGAGCCCGCCCGACGCGGGTACTTTGTCCATAAATCTGGATCTTGCACAAACTTTCAGTTCAGCGTTTCTGTACATCTTAATAATTTCCAGATTTTTTTCCACCTCCCCTGTATGAGGGATGTGCCTCACTTTCAGCAGCCTAACAAAGAAAGTTTTAACTCTAAGGCGAAAAGAAAAAAAAAAAAAACAAGAGGCAGGGAAACTAAAATTCACTATTTTTGTTTAGTCTAGTTTGGAGAATTAACATTACACTGGGGTACTCTTGGGTCAAGCCGAGCAGTCAAAGCCACTAGAACCCAGGACGGCTGAGATGGGGAGTGAAAAGCCTCTTATACCCAGCACAACAAAACAGGCTGTCAGCTCTCAGCACCAGGATGTCTCAAAAAGCCATGGCTAACAGCTTTCCAGGGAAACCGGGGCTATTTTGAGGAAAGCAGAATGTGCACGCGTTCACAATGCACAAAAAACCATTTTACCACCCAAAGACAAGGCAACTTTGTCTTGCCAGCAACGTGTGATTCACAGTTAGTTGAGATTCGATTGCCTTGGGGATGCCATGTCGTTCATGCCATGGCAAGCCAAAACTCGCTCCTCTAACAGAGAAATCTGTATTCCCCCAGCCCAGCCGCAAAGGCAGGGCTACACCAGGCAACAGAAGGAAGGGTATAAGCAGATCTAAAAAAATGCATTAGATCACTGACAAAGGTGGCGTGGAGACAATGGGATGTCATGTCCTCAGACTGTCAGAGGAGCAGAGGAAAGCCATGGGTGAGCAGAGAAATCTGCCGGAGTTTCTTGCGATTCGCTCATTGAATTTGTCCCCAAACACCTGATACCACCCAGCGCCGGGCAGCTCCTCTTGTCCCGTGCGGGCTGGAGAACCTGGCACGGGTGGCATCATGGTACAGCTCGTGAGCCCCATCATTTAAAGCACCCTGAAGGTTGCAGGAACCCTCCCAACCCGCCCGCGGTCTGCAGCATCCTTCAGCTGCCAGAGGGGGGTTTCCCAAGCTGCCGCACCGTCGGCCTCTCCCCAGCGCCGCCGCCGGCCGGGACACCCTGGTGCCCTGCCCAGCACCATCCTGCACACGGGATCCCATCGCCCTCCCCGCCACCAGCCCCTGCAGAGGTCCTGTCCCCACGCACATCGGCCTCTCCACACGACGCTGCCCGCGTACGCTCGCCCACGACAACCCGCCGCGCGTCGGGCTCCAGCTCTACAACAGTGATCCTGCAGCAGGGAACAACGAGCAGCAACACCTTCCTGTGACCTGCTGACAACCAGCCCCCCCCCCCCCTCAGACAGGCACGCTTTTAGCCTCGGTGCCTGTATGCCCCACCCGCGATGGCAGCTCATTTTTGGTAGGTCCTACAGATGTGTCCAATGAAGGGGCAACCCCAACCCCAACGAGTTTCCCAGGGAATGCAGTAGGGTCCTTGAACTGGGGCCGTCGCGTTTAATTTCTGGCCACTGGAGGTTGTTTCTTGTTGTTAACTGTTGAGTGTAAAATGAGGGCTAATGCCCGCATGGGGGGCTGGGAGGGGTGAGGGAGTGCCAACGTGTGATGAGCTTGCGTGCTTTGCAGATCTGGGACAAAAAGCATCAGAACTTGTTTACAGCGCTAAAGCAATTTGCTCACAAGGGAGAAGGGTGATTCCTGGACCCAGATGAAGCACATGCCCACAAAAAAATCTCTCATGTCCTCTACCTTTCCCCTTTGTCCCTTGACAAAGCCAGCCAGTGCCACATCTCCTCGTCGGCCCTCCAGCCGCTCCCTGACGTGGATGCTCTGTACGCAGAGATGGCAGGGTCACCTGGCCAAGGCTCCCCAAAAACATCTGCTCCAGAACCAGCTGCCTGCACCACCCCCAGCGCCTGCAGCCCAGGGTGATGCCTCCGAGCAGCGCGCCACGCATCACCCCTGCACTATGCTCCGTGCATCCCCCCCGCCCCGGCACAGCCAGCAAACCCGTCACCACCACCAGCAAGACACCAGCCGGAGGTTGGCAGCAGGATCGTGCACGAGGCCCAACACCACAGCGGGGGGGTTGACCTCTGCTTTCCACGGTGTCCAGCTGGCAAAGGCCTCGGTGGCTTCCCAAAATATCCGTGCGAGGTTGGAGGTGGTTTGTTGGTGGGACGTCGTGTTTCCTCCGCTCCCTGCAGGGACCTCAGACACCGGTGGTCTCGTGCTCCCTCCTGTCTTCTACACGCGGTGCCTAGTTTAGTCTTTTAGTCTTTAAAGTATTTGGATGAGAACTCAAAGGCACGTGGTGGGCGATACGCACATCTAAAACATCACCACACAGCGAAGGCTGCCAGTCCGAGAAGCCTGAAGAGTGCTGATACATGAAAAAACCCCACAAATCCCACAAAATCCCGCCACAAGAGAGAGGAACAGCCACAGGTGCTACACAGCATCAAAGCCTATTTTAAAACTGCCTAACATTTTTGTCAGCTGCTCCAGAGGCCGACTTGAGATCCTGAACTCAGCGCAAAGCGCCCGGGCCAGGCTCAGCTCACCGCACCCCTGATGTGAACGACTCTGGCATGTAAGGGAACGGAAATTACTCCATCACATTTCTTTTACAGCTACTTTTGAACCCCCTCAGAAAACGAGGTTTGTCTTTGCACAGCAGCTTGCTTGTGTCAAAAGAACAATATTCTGGGGATAGCTTGTCCGGGTTTTATTTGTTCCCCACCCTGCAATGTTTGGAGAGCATCTTCGGCCTCCCACGTAAATTCCAAGTTTCATTTATTAAATACCTCGCTGGCGTTTTCTTTTCACTTTCACACTGCTCGTTTAATATTACATTTGACATTCTAAGCTTTACGGATGGCAACAGAAGCAGAATGGGCGGGCTAAAAATAGCCTGCCAGGGAGACGGGAGGCTAGAAATAGCTCAGGAACAACAGCAGCCCCGCTACCCTTTGCCTGCCCCTGCGTTTTGGGAAACGACAGCGTTCCGGAGGCGAGAAAGAGCGAGCCGAGGGCAAGCCGGTGCCTGTGGAGCCGCAGGTGCCTCGGCTGAGCAGCCCGGGGATGGGGACAGGGTGGCCCTGCCCCAGCTCACCCAGCGGCTGCAAAGCAGCCCGGAGCCGGGGCTGCGAGCGCCCGGCCCCTTCGCGGCTCGACGCTAGAGGGGGGAACGTGTTAAAAAAACCAAAGCAGGAGCGGTCGCTCTCCAAGGGCGCTACGGAAAGTACATCTGCACCTACCGCCGGCCCCCCGGGCAGCGCAGCAGCTCACGGCCACGCCGGCGGGCGCGAGCTCTCCTGCCCCGGCACGGGTTTGGTAATTAATCTGCAGACGCCTCGGCGATACGATGAGTCAGTCCCGAGACAGGCTCACGTCTCCTCTCCTCCCTCGTGGGCTGCTTTTAAAATTAGCGCTGGAGAAGAAGCGATGAGAAGAGAGCGCTCGAAGCATCGAGGCACCCGGATTGTGCACCAAGGAGGCAGAGAGAGCGGGGAAGATCTTTTAATTATCCGCGACAACAAAACACCAACAGCCTACACTGTTTCTTTTGCTCTTTGTGACGCTCCTCGAGTGTTTTCACCCTGTCCCATCCTCCACATTCCCTGCACTGCCGTGACCTTCCCGTGCAGCCTTTCGTCTGGCAAGAAACCCTCTCACCAACTCTCCCACCGCTCCTCCCCCCTAGCAGGGCTCTGCCAGCGGCTGGGTAAGATTTTCACAGCGCACGAGGGCAGATCCTGCCGGAAAGCATCAAACCAAGCACCCTGCCCCGCTGCCGGCACCCGTTTTGCTGGGACACATCAGCACCCTGCTGCTCCTTCCAGCCTCCACCCAGCACCCCACCAGCGCAACACTGGGCAGCGCTGAGCCGTACCGGGTGAAGGAGAAAAACCTTATTTTGCGAAATAACTAAACCTGAGGAGTATGACGTGACACACCCCCACCGGCGATGAAGTGGTAGGAAAGCCCTGGAGTGTGGCACTGCTGCTCTCCCCTCCCAAATGACAATCTTACCTAAATTTGCACTCCGAGCGTTTCTGATTTGTTGCTGGGTCTGTCATCTGGATGCTGGGGTGGGGGTGGTTGGGGTTAGTCCTTTTATTTTGGTGGTTTTTTTTTGTTTCGTTTTGTTTTTTTGTGGGTTTTTTTTTTTTTTTTTTGCTTGTTTTGTTTTGTTTTTTGAAGGCAGATAAATCAGCTTTTAGTAACTCCAGACAGGGGCATAAGCCTCCCCCACTACCCCCACGTGTCTCGGGCGAGGTGTCGCTGGTGGCAGGCAGGAGATCCCGGGAGCAGGAGGCGGTTGGGGAAGCACCGGGATGCTTGGAGAGGGCAGAGGCGAAGCCCGGGCACCCATCCGAGATGGAGCAAGAGGTCAGGGCAAGGGGAACTGCCCTGGCCCTGCCCTGCCATCCCACCACTCCGTTTGCCAAGGGGACCCTTACTTTTATTTCAGATGCATATTGCAGTGAGGAACAATATGAGGAATATTATTTCAGTGCCCTGGGAAAAATTAGCAAGTCAAATATTGAATCAGGCCTCCAGCATATGCCAAGGAGATTGCTTTGATCTTATCCACACTAAAAGCTCTATTATTGAATTTAAAGTCTGTGAACACATATCAGACCAATATACAATGCATATCTGAATACACATTTGAGAAGCAAAGGATGTTTTGACAAAGGGAAAAAGAATATTTTAGCTGAAAATATCAAAGTTACTGCATCAACTGAAATACAAATGCCCTTTTTCATCTGGCTCAGTGGCTTTACTGACAGGGCAACCCGCAACCTGAGACCTGACTGTCATTTAGGAGGTCTGGCTCCTGGGTTGGGGCTGGGTGGAAAGTGATGGCAGAGCGCCCCGAGGCTCAGCACCCCGGGCCCTGACACCTCCGCCCAGCGCCCCCACGGAGGAGAATGTCCCCGAGGGCCACCACGCAGGCCTGGCAGATGTCTGTGACAAAGGGCGAGAGCCCGCTGCCACCGACACGTGCTGTGGAACAAAAACAACTTACCATTTTATTATTGATTTCGTGGAAATGAATTTCACAGACTTTTTCCACCACGTCTTCGTTTTCAAAAGTTACGAAGCCGAATCCTATTTAATAAAGAAACAAAAAGGGGAGGGGGAAAGGAAAATATTAGTTAAGTTAAACAATTTCATTTTAATAAAGCATTACTTAGCTATTGGGACTTTGGAAAACTTTCACAAAAATATGCTCGTGTAAATGCACCTGCTGTCTCTGGAGCTGTTGCTGAACTTATTACAGACTAATGGAGGGAAGAAGCATTGTCTCGGGGAAAATTAATATGGTTCTGTTCCAGTTCTTCCATAGGATTTAATGGAGAATTAAAACCTCCTTATGGATTTTTTGATCCATCCTGCAGAATTTAATGGATAGTTACACCCCAGTTACATGATGGCTCAGAAACTACAATAAGGCCGTATTTTCTTTTACACCTTATAGGTTTTTAAGAGCAATCTCTACAAAACCCAATTATATTTCCATGGAACCATATTGATTTTATCTCTTGTTTAATTCCACCGGACTTCTCCATTAGAGCTGACTCATTACACGACCCACCCCCCCCCACCCCCCCGACAAAAAAAAAAAAAAAAAAAAAATCCAGGAAGAAGGAAGGCGATTCCTCATTTACCTCTGAGTGAGGAAAAAAAATACCAATGCTCCCCCAACCAGGCAGCAGCACTTTGTGTTCCCATGCGCTCTGAGCAGCCCCCAACCGTCCCCGCTGCTGCGTGCCGGGGCCGGCGGCGCAGCCACCGCAGCTCCGTCCCGCGCGGATGCAGCCGGCCCCGCGGGTCAGCCGGGCTCCGGAGGTGGTTATTTGTCCCTTTCTTCCTGAATTACTTCCTCTAATACCTCATCAGGACATCCTGAGGCCTCCAAGAACCCATTACGTTTAAGGCCTCTGATCTAATCATTCCTCTCTTCTCCGCTGCGGCTTCAAAGGAGCCGTGGATTTGGGCTGGTTTAGGGTCATTTGATGCCTGCTGCCTGCCTGTAGCTGTACACTGTGTTTGCTCTGCTGGGGCTGCACTAAAGGAATCTGGCAGCCCCCCACAGCTATACACAGTCGTGTTCCCGGCTCCTTCCTTAAAACAGAAATGAAAATCAAGCTAACAAACAAAAAACCAATCTAATGCGCTACATTTCTGGCAAAGGCTTGATGAGTCAACATCGACACCAATTAAGCTAATGAAATCATAAAAATGCAACAACAGGATGAAGTTCATCCCCCCCAACTGCACTGAAAACTCTGCTGGACTCAACGCTGGTGACATGGCCCGTGACAGCTCCGAGCCAAACCAGCCCGAGCTGGGGCACCCCCAGCAGCAGCCTTGGCCCCTGCCTGGGGACACGGGGGAGGGAAGAGAGAGGGGAAACCAACACGGCCCGGCGTTCTTTTCTGTGAATAGTTTTGCCTGGTGAACATCCCTCCGCTCAGCCATGGAGGGCATTAAAGCACTTTTGTCTTTGCTGACTCCTGTCTGCCACCGGCCGCGTGTCCGTCCACCCCGGGCTGCCCATCCCAGCCCCCCCGGCTCTTTGGGAATACAGCAGTGAAGCTTCAGCTCAAGCCCACTTTGATCCCGACACCTCCCATCTGCAATGGGAAGGGATGGCACCCCAGGGGCCTGGGCAGGCTGGGGAGGGGGGCCCGGGCAAACCTTGTGGGCTTCAACACGGCCAAGGGCAAGGGCCTGCCCGGGGGTCGGGGCGATCCCCAGCACAAACCCAGGCTGGGCCCTCGAGGGGCGGCTGGAGAGCAGCCCCAAGGAGAGGGACTGGGGGGGTTGGGGGGGGAAAACTGCCCGTGAGGCAGCCCCGTGCGCTGGCAGCCCAGAACCCACCCGTGCCCTGGGCTGCAGCCAGAGCAGGGGGGGCAGCAGGGCCACGGGGGGGGATTCTCCCCCTCTGCTCCGCTCTGGGGAGCCCCCTCTGCAGTGCTGGGGCCAGCTCGGGGGCCCCCAACAGCAGAAGGACCCGGAGCTGCTCGAGCGGGGCCAGAGGAGGCCACGGAGATGCTGGGGGGGCTGGAGCAGCTCCCCTGGGGGGCCGGGCTGAGAGAGTTGGGGGGGTTCAGCCTGGAGAAGAGAAGGCTCCGGGGGGACCCTGAGAGTGGCCTCCCAGGGCTTAAAGGGGGGACAGGAGAGGGGGGGGGGACTCTGGGTCAGGGGGTGGGGGTAGGACGAGGCGTAATGGCTTTAAACTGAAAGAGGGGAGATTTAGGTTAGATAGAAGGAAGAAATTGTTCCCTGTGCGGGGGGTGAGGCGCTGGCCCCGGGTGCCCAGAGCAGCTGTGGGTGCCCCCTCCCTGGGAGGGTTCAAGGGCAGGTTGGACGGGGCTGGGAGCCCCCTGGGCTGGGGGAAGGGGGGGGCACTGGGGGGGCTTTAAGGTCTCTCCCAACCCAGATCGGTCCATGATGGTGTCACCCCCCACCCGCTCCCCCCGCCAGACCCAGTGCTCCCAGCAAGCGCCCAGCAGCGGGCAGTTCTGGCGCTGGGGTCCCAGAGCGACACTTCATCTTTTTAAACGCACACTCAATTTGCTTTGATGGGGCACAGCAGAAAATATTCAAACTATCCTGTTTTTTTTTTTTTTGGCAATCTACAGGTACAAGATACATTTTGCAGACTACAGTATATGAAGCTGTAAAGTGCATTTCAAGGTGAGGTCCGAGCAGCTCCCAGACAGCTTATTTGGTAGTGCACAGTACACGTAGCAATGAGGAATGCTCTCATTCCTCTTTGGACCCTGTTACTGGGGGGAAAACCCACCAGAAACGGTTTCTAGATCTCCTCCGAGGCATGACACATCATCCGACAGCACATCAGACTCAAACCCAGCGCTCAGAACACTGTTTGACTTTGCACTTAAAGTATGTAGCAGCTTGAAGTATTTTATTTAACTCAAGTCTTTCATTTGCCTTCTAAATTACTCCATTTAAATCTACCTTAAACAGACCTGTAGTTAAAACTAAAATTTTTGTGGTTAACTGGCTGAATACGGCATCCCAGGAATCCCGGAGCCCGCTGCGCTGGGCAATTACCGGAGCTGGGAGCAGCGTGCCGCCGGGGACCCGCTCTGCCCAGCGCAATGAGACGGCCAGTCCGGGTCTACAAGTCATTAATTGTTTGAGCACCAGCAACATCTTCATCATTAGTAACTCATTAGCGAGTACTGCGGTTGAGAATTTCTCTTTCGACTTTTGTCAGGTCTCACTGCCAGGATGGAGGAGAGAGAGGGAATTTAGAGATTAGCCTTAATATGCATAACACCGCGAGAAAGCCCACTGCAGTCATTACACATTTGGGCTCAGAAGCAAGTTTCCCCTTCTCATCCCACTCCATATGGCTTAAACACAGGTTTATCAAGAAATTATTTGTCTGATTAAATCAGAGAGCCGTCCAGCTTTCTGCATTTGCAGATTTTATAACGAGAATAAAATAACAATCCATAGGTGTTGACACTCATTGGCAGGTTTTTAGAAGATCTATGTCGCTTTGCGCAGGCCAGCCGAGCTGGCTTGGCAAGAAAGAACAGACGTAACTGGGTCTGTAAGAAAACCCAACACCACCTTTTATTTTTCCCTCCCTGGAGCGGGCGGACGGGCAGGGCAGGCAGCTCCAGCGGGCATGGGGCTCGCAGGTTCAGGCCCGGAGCCCACGCAGGGCACTCGGACCGTAGCTGAAGGCTCACGGTATTTTACCTTTACAATTACCGACACCCTCACCTGACCGGGAAGCAACCAGAGGATTCTAACCTGCACGTACGCAGGCACTCAGAATCCAGAGGATGCTACTGAAGAGATGCTATCGCTCCTTCAGTGAACAATCCCCAAGAGATCGTATGCCCCAGAATTAAAAACTTCATTGAAGTGACAAGTAATGGGCCCTTTTTCTGTTTTACTTTTTGGAAATTAGATTCCAACTTTTAATAATTGCACACACACACAAATATTACGGCATGCATGCCTTATTAGTTAGCATAATGAATACATGCTCATTTTTAAATTACCAAAACTCTCAGAAACCTTCCTGGACTAAATAGACAATTATTTCTTCTGAGAGGTACTAAGAGTCAACAAAAAAATGGTTCTCAGAAAGTGTATGAAAAAGATTAACACAAAACAAAGAAGGCTGTTTAAAATGGTGACATAAATAGGATTCCGGTTGTCAAGGAGCACACATTTTAAAATGAAATTATACCGCATCCTTCTGAATGAAGCTATTATTGGAAGCTAACAAGCTCTATTTAAGAGATAAGCATTTAACAGAGTCAAACGGTTGGGGTTTTTTATTCAAATGAACAAAACTGAATATTCATTTGAATAATCTTTTCTGTGAAAGAAAAGGCAAAGAAGAGGGGAAAAAGAATAAAGTAAGAGGCAAACAGATGCCCCCGAACGAGAGGCTCCGAGCCAAGCGCGGTCGCTAAAGGAAGCCGAGCCGTGTATTCACGACCTTCAGGTGACAAACCCCTCCTTCAGCGCCTGCTCAGGAACACGACTCATTTCCCTCTATTCATCGGCTGGTTAACGGCCCCGAAGCGATGCCGGGGGATGGCGGCGAGCCCCCGCGCCTGGAAGGGAGAGGGTTTGCTCTGCGCGGGGAAGGGGCCGGCGTCCGCGGGGCTCCGGCGGATTACCGGGAGCGATCCGGGCCCGGCGATCCGGTGGGAGATCCGCGGCTGCCGGGGCGGGAGGCCCAGAAGCGTCCCCGGGGAGGGACCCCCCTGCCCCGGGCTCGCGGCAGCAGGATTCGGGGATTCGGGGAGGGGACGGCTCCCTGCCTGCAGGAACGCGGCGTGGGCACGGGTCTGGAGCCTGCTTCTTCAGGGGACTTGTTTCACTCGCTGGGACTTTCTGCCTCTGTTAATTAGAAGCTAAAATATTTGGGGGACCATTACCAGAGGATGCAGCTGCCGTCAGCTGAAGCGACCCAAGCGGAAGGCACTCAGTACCCCTGCAGAGCAGGTCCCTTTCAGGACGGCGGGCTGGCAGATCAGTGACTCACAAAAAGGGAATTTTTCACTAGGAAACAGATACAAGTGCATTATTCGCAGGGGAGGGAA